ATATATATATATATATATATATATATGTATATCATACGTCAAAATGGAGTAAGCAGAAAGGCCATTGCGAATTGGGTCAAGACGATTGGACATGTTTTGATGAAAGCTAGTCAGCCAAGTTAAGTAACTGGGTCATACGTCGGGAGAAGAGGGGAGTAGTCAAATTGCTTGGCAGAGAAAAAGTGACTCACTAAAGATGCGATAAGAATCGGTCCCGCGAATACGCCCTGCGCAGTGTTAAAAAGCGTAAAGTCCCTGAAAACCCATACATTCCTCCGCAGAGTGCTGCTATGCAACAGATAAAAATAAAATTCACCGTTTTTCAGCCGTTGACTGTATGATCTTGAGCACGGCAACTGATTCGAAATCCCTTGAAACGGCAAACTAAAGTGTATTATTTTCTTGGGTGCGATTGGATGGTGTGATCGAGCAAGAGGTTGAGGAGGATGAGGGAGAGGTGCGGGTGTGAGAAGAAATAAGAGAAGATGGGCAAATGTCCTGTTGTGACGGCGATGCGATTGGTCAACTGGTTGCGTCACCAGAGCGGCCGAAAAGGGATTGCCGCATGAAAGCGGCGTTGGGTACGAAGGAGGAGATAGGGTGAATTGGAGTGGATGCGATTGGTCGCGACAGTTCGCGATTGTTGCGTAACCGGTGCGACCGAAAGCGGCGAAGCGCCCAATCCCGCGCCTCCGGCCGACCAGGCCCTACGGCCGGCCTATCAGAGCGAGTGCCGCATTGCATAACGCAGGCCCTTCTTGAGGCCGGGTTTGTCTCGGTTGGACGCCGTTGCGCCAATCGGAGCTCGGCCGATTGCGTGACCGAATCACGGCCCCCACACCCCCCAAGGCTTGGCCGAGACGCGGCCACGGCTCACCTCCGATAGGCGAGATGCTCCGGTGCCATCGCGACTGGCCAGCCGGCGAGTGTGAAATGTCGCAGGCCAATTAGATCGCGACAATCGCGTCATCATGCAACATCCGGCAAAACTCAATTGGCCTGTTGTTCGGCGACAGTTGGTCGTGAAGACAAGTCGGCTTTCGAGGACTCTCTTGCTGCATAATTGTTGAGTGAAAGTGTTGCGTAAAGTGATTCGACGGTCGGTTCTACCAGAAGACGACGGCAGATTCCTCTTCACCAGCTGTCGATTGGCTTTGCTGGAACATTCATGGTGAAACTGTTTCCGAGGCAGTCTCCCCTCGATTCCGGTGAAAAGGTTTGACGAACCTCATCAGAGTAAGGTATCATCGTCACAACCAAATTCAAGCTAACGAGTCAGGAAAACTCACCGGCACAGCCCTAAAAAGCGGAGTATATAGTCAATATCTGAAC